TAGCTTTAGGCAGAGAGTTCCATAAACATCCCCGCATATAACCCTATGTATTTCAATATCAAAATGCAAATTATACCAAAACCAGGGATATGAGAGTATATCCCTGCCAAAACAAAGTGTCTTTCTCCCCTCGTTTGCTTCGCTTCTTGTGAAATTTATAGATAACGAGAAGACCGAATACATAATTTTACCTTTTAGCTAGTGCTTATTGATGACAAAATCCGGGGACAAAATATTTGAGATCCGGATAGTATATTTTCAGGCAAGACGCCCTCTCAGCCCTCATGCAAAAGTTTGCCCGTACGTCTACAGTAATAGACGTGTTCGATGAATGGAAATTGGAAAACAAATCCTCTTTGGTGAATGTTGACGCGAAACTGTTTAATTTTAAAAGAGTGTCGTGACTAAAAGCAGGTTGAAAAACGCTGATCTAGGAAACTAAAATATGGTGCTTCATCCCCCCCCCCCATTGAGCCCTCGCTACGCCACTGCTCAAAGGTAAAATACGACCAGAATCTGGTATAGAGGTGACTATGACCCTCTTAAATATTTATACATGATGTGCCCATTTAAAGTGGCGCCAACTCCGAGAGAGAGAGAGAAAGAGAGAGAGAGAGAGAGAGAGAGAGAAAGAAACTTTGCCCAAACCCTGAATATACAAACTTATCTAACTTGTAATAAAATAAACTTCCATGATGCAACAATTTAACAATAGCAATATTAAGACGTTCAAAAGCGCGTATGGGGAGGGGGGGGGGGCTAGGATGATGCGGTTCCCATCTCTTATTGGGGAAACAGTCTCCTAAAATTAATTTGTATAACAAATCATCTTGTATGATGAATGCTCAAGAGCGGCAAGAGAAGTGATCTCCCTAGCGAAGAGGAGGAAGAAGAACAAGAAGAACAACAAGAACAACAAGAACAACAAGAAGAAGACAACAATAACAAGAATGAGTCACCTAGAACAAGGACAAGAAGAAAAGAAAAAGAAGAGAGAGGAAGAGAAAATAAGTTAAAGAAATCTACTTACCTTTATATTTGAATCAATCACGAAATAATGAAATATGGTTATCGTACACGAAAAATGTAATTTGATTAGTGAATGAATTGCTGTTACTCAAACAAGTATTGTTTCATCTGTATTATTTATGCATATAATTTATTGCTTCCTGTTATACCACACTGGATTTAAGAAAGGAGCATTGGTTTCATAAAAAAGAGCACGTCCCCATTTATAGCTAAGCCTTTGCCGTTCCCCTGTAAAGCAAACGGTGAAAAGGGAAAGTGTAAGAAAGGTAGCTAAGAAAGAGAGAGAGAGAGAGAGAGAGAGAGAGAGAGAGAGATGATATAAGAAATTAGAAAGGCAACGTGAAATGTTTATCCTTGACAAAGTGAAGCCCTTCCCATGTATTGGTAGGGGGATACATGCCAGGAAAATCATGAAAAAATTGAAATTATATATTTTTCTTTGATCATTCATCTCTGTCTGTCTTAAATGTCATGATTTATAACTTTGGACTAATTTAACGAACGTATAGTGGACTCCGCTCGGTCAATTAAGGGTTTTTTTCTCAATAAAAAAAAAGAAAGACATTCTAGTGGGGGAAGGTGAGGGCGTACGCATTTCAGTTTGGTGACGTGATGGAACAGCATAGTGTCCCTTTATATAGCGCCATCTCGTGATAAGCTTAATTACATTACAAGCATCAAAATGAAAGGAAGAGGCGTTTGAAAATTTGAGCAAATTCTGATAAAAAAATAAGAAAGTTAGGAATTTTGTTTAACTCAAGGTCAATCAAACAAAAATTGGCAACTCTGTGATGTATTTTGAGAGCCCCCCCCCCCCCGCACATTTTTCCCGTGCTGAAAACAAATCATACATTTTAATTTTCTGTCAATTTTTTTAAAAATCACACATGCACCCTATTATATTTATTCCAAGTATATTTCTATATAACTGTATTGGAGAAAAAAATATATTCCATCGATAATGAAGAAAATGAAAGTTTATTGAATTGTATGTACCAAGCAAATCGGAGAGGGGCTAGCAAGATACGTCACCGTGTTGCAGATTCATGTTTGATTGACCACAACTTTAAAATCTATCTCCATATCTATCTCTCTCTCTCTCTCTCTCTCTCTCTCTCTCTCTCACACATACTAAATTACACTTTACACTTCTTTGGTATGTATAGTTCTGTATATTGTGCTGTGACACAATCTTTGTATTGTTAAACCAATTGAAAAGGAATTTATGTTGTATGGAAGATGATTTAATGTAATTCATTTCAATTCAATTCATTTCTTACTTTACTTTACTTTATCAGCCGTTGTCAATCCACTGCAGGATGAAGGCCTCAGCATGATGTTTCCAAATGCCTCTGTTCAACGCCTGTTGGTGCCAATTTGTCTGTCCCCAGAACTGTTGCAGCTCGTCTCGCCATCTTTTTCTTTGACGTCCCCTGTTTCGTTTTCCCTCGTATGGTGTCCAATGAGTGATTGCTGAGCTCCATCGATTGTCTTTCCTGCGGCTGATGTGGCCTGCCCAATTCCATTTCCTTCTTTTCACTGTTTTAAGGATGTCCTGGACTTTTGTTTGTTCCCTGATCCATTTGTTTGTTTTTCTGTCTTTGTATGTGATGCTTAGAATACTTCTTTCCATGTTGTGTTGCGAGGCTGCTAGCTTTCTTTCCATTTTTGAAGTTAGCGTCCATGTTTCTGCAGCGTATGAGATTGCTGGGATGATGCACTGGTTATATACCTTCTTTTTCAGGCATAATGGAAGTTTGCCTTTCATGATGGTGCTGTATCTGCCAAAGGCTCGCCATCCAGCTTTGATTCTTCTTCTTATTTCGTTGTCTTGATTTTTGTCTTGGAGGGAGAAACGTTGTCCTAGGTAAATATACTCCTCTACTTGCTCCATTTTGGTACCGTTCACTTGGATTTGTTTTGGATCTTTGGCTGATCCTGCCATGACTTTAGTCTTCTTCATGTTCATTTTGAGGCCTGAAAGTCGGCTTGCATCGTCCAGTTCTTGTAGCATTATTTCGAGGTCGTTTAAGTTGTGAGATATGATGACAATATCGTCTGCAAATCTTAAGTGACTCATGTTTTCCCCGTTTATGTTGATTCCCTTTGATGACCAGTCTAATGTTTTGAAGATGCTCTCTAGGCAAGCAGTGAAGAATTTTGGTGAGCCGGTGTCTCCCTGTCGAACTCCCTTTCTTATCATGATTTTGTTGCTGGCCTTGTGCATTCTGACAGTATTGTAGCAGTCTGAATAAATGTCTTTAAGGATTTTGATGTATGTATTGTTGATTCCTTGGTCTTGAAGTGCCTTCAGTACTGCGTAGGTTTCTACGGAATCAAATGCCTTTTCATAGTCTACGAATGCTACGCATAGGGGGATGTTGAACTCTTGGCATTTTTCTTTCAATTGATTAATGGTGTGGATGTGGTCCATAGTTGAGAAACCCCTTCTGAAGCCTGCCTGCTCCCTAGGTTGGTTGTTATCAAGGATTTTCTCTAGCCGGTTGGTGATGATTTTTGTGTACAGCTTATACAGGTTTGAGAGGAGGCTGATGGGTCTGTAGTTCTTTAGATCTCGCTTGTCCCCCTTTTTGTGCAGAATTATCATTGTGGCTTCTTTCCATTGATGTGGTATTCTCCTCGTTTGCATACATACATTGTAAAGTTTGGCTAGTTCCTCAGTTATTGTGTCTCCTCCTTCTTTGATTGTGTCTATAAGTATGCTGTCTGGGCCTGGTGACTTCCCTCTCTTCATTTGATTTATTGCATGTTGAACCTCCCAATCAGTTACAACTGGGATCTTTTCTTGTGGTTCTCCTGGATCTTCTGTCTCTTTATTGCTATTGTATAGTTGTTCATAAAACTCTTCAATTCTTTGAAGTATCTGGTCCTGATCTGTGATTTCTTGTCCATTGCTGTCGAGGAGGCTTGTGATTTTCTGTTTTCCATGTGCTAGTTTCTTGAAAGTTTTCTTCAGGCTTCTGTTTTCCTCAATTGTGGATTTTATCATTGTTGTGTTGTAACTACGGATGTCTTCACGTAGCTTTTTCCTTACTGTTTTGCAGGTTTCTACATATTCAACATTTTGGATGCCTATGCCTTCTGCTTTCATGTTCCTTCTTTTTTCCATGAGTTTTCTGGTAGATTCTGATATCTTGTTTTCACGGGTTTTTGGTTTTTTCCCTGCGATCTTTATGGCGGTTTCTTGGGTTTTTTCCACTAGCAGATCAGTCCATGTTTCAAGGGATCTGTTTCCTTCTTCGTCTGTGCATTTGTCCGTCAAAAGTTGAAATTGGTTTTTCAACTCCAGTTGAAATTCTGTTCTCTTCGCTTTTAGTTTCTCTAGGTTGATGCTACTTTGTTTTGGTTTTAGGAGTTTTTGCCTCTCTAGTCGGGTGTTGATTTTCATCTTGCCCATTACCATCCTGTGGTCACTTCCCACGTTCACCTTGCTGATTGTTTTCACGTCTTGGATGATGTGAGGGTTATCAGTTAGTATGAAGTCAATTTCATTCTTTGTGTTTCCGCCTGGGCTTTTCCATGTCCATTTCCTGGATGCTCCTTTCTTGAAGAAAGTGTTCATTATTTTCATTTTGTTGCTAATGGCAAATTCAAGAAGTCGGTCCCCCCTGTCGTTTCTTTGCCCACTTCCGAAGGGGCCGATTGTGCTTTCTTCTCCTTCCTCTCTTTTCCCGACCTTGGCGTTAAAGTCACCCATGACTATTGTAAACTGTGTTTTACTGCCTTTCATCACGTCCGTTATTTCCTCGTAAAGTTTCTCTACCTCTTCATCGTCGTGTGTTGAAGTTGGAGCATAGACTTGGATAATCTTGATTTTGTATCTCTTATTGATTTTTATTGTTATTTGTGCCAGACGTTCATTTATTCCTTTTATTTCAGAAATGTTACCGGCGATGCTTTTGTGAACTAGGAATCCTACTCCTCATTTCATTGTAAATCAATTCAGTAATTGAACAAGAAAAAACCCTGCTTAACCACTCTTTTTCCCCCCTCCATCCATCTCTCTCTCTCTTATTTTTCTCTTCTCTCCCTTCCCCTTCCCCTTCCTCCCTCCCAAGCAGTATTCAAAAGCATCATTATCCCCCAATATCCATCAGCATTGTGATTTCTTTAACAACACATATATCCCATCCTTTGCAAACATATATTTTACACATATTTTCAAACAAGGTATGAAGGTATTATTAATACTTTTTGTTTAAGATTTACAATTTATATATTTGTTTCTATGAGAAAGAAATAATCAGCTATTTCTGAAATTCTGAAATATATGAATATGGAGAATGATATTGCAAATTTTTAATATATTTATAAAGCAAAAAATAGATTTACAGGAAAAACAATAAACTCCATGAATCATAAGTAGTAAGGTAACACATCTTTAGTATTCTTATAAGTCTGGAACATATCAATGCTTTTTACATTAGATCACAAAGCAAGAGAGATTTCATAACCAATGACATAAAACTATTGTTTTGCTTTTACTATCTACAGACATTTACATTCCAAATCGAAATTTTATAAAATCTATTTTCGTATCATCATATCGACATTTGGCCATAAAACATTTACAAAAATAACAAATACATGTACATAGTGATATCTGCTAGAACGAAGATATAATTTATGGAATAAGGCAATGGTACGAAGCAAATACATCTTATACATCAACATTCTTTCTTGTCCTTCACCAAGACATTAATCTACATTTGCCACTCTCCACCCTGGTGAAGTAAATGAGTACACAGCAGGAATTAATTCCTTAATAGTTTGAGTGCTGTAATGGCAGCGGCATACCTGCTTAAGTCCGGCGGGTAATAATAATGGAGCGCCAGGGGTAGCAATGTGCCAGACATGAGCGCTATACAAGACTATCACTAGGGACTTTTAGATTCGCACAAAGACAATGGGGATTGCTACGATCGATGTCCTTTTAATGTACTGCCTTAAATGGACGTCACACGTATCAGTCCACGCAAATCTAAAAGTCCCTATCATCATTATTATACAAACATGCATGGATTGGTGAAACAAAATACTTTTTTAAAGTAATAGATACAGAACTTAAATGTAAAGCTGTGATGTCAAATACTTTATGTAAGGCAAGATACATTCAATTCCTAGTTGCTTTTCCCCTCAACCTTCCTTTCTTCATTCCTTTTTTTTTTTGGGGGGGGGGGGAGGGGGGGGGGGTACTGCCTCAACATTTATGTTCTCTATTATTGTTGCTCTAAAATGAAAATGAACAACAATCTTGAGACATCTAGACAATGTGGTAACAAAATTATTAATATGATGCACTTCTACTTTCTTATGAGCTCCAAAAGTTCATGTACACATGTAATTGCAGAAAAAGCTTTGAGTTAAATTTGTGGCAAATGCATTTTTATGTACAAGAAAAATACCAAATAACATGAAAACCCTCCTCCTTAATTAACAGGAAAAATTGGGACAAGAAACTAGAAATTAATTTTAATTCATGTTTATTTTTGGAAGACTCCTCCCTCCTCATTCAATACAAAACAGGAGTTTGCTACTGAGGATATATTCTCATCAGTCACAGTGAAGGAGATGGGAGAACGAGGAGAGGAAGATGACAAGAAGCTGAAGAAAAGAAGAAAAAACAAACACTTAGAAGTAATTATAGCAAAATACAAACTTTTAACTAAAGCGGGTAGTCTGCATACCACCTTGGCACATATCTTAATAACACAGGTACAGTATATTTAAAGTGGCATAAGCTGAATTAGGTGTCATTTTCATTTTTTAACTCTAGACTGTATCTACACCTAAACAAACATAAACATAAACAGATTAGTGCACTGTAAGCATCTATCTATATAGTATATAGAATAAAATAGAGGCAATATTTCTTAATTCAGAGTCAAGTATAAACACTATACTGTATTCTCAAATACTTTGCATAGAATTACGAAGCTATACTGCTACATAGAACAAAATCTCCTTTAGACATATTATATATTGCTATCTATGATATAATTCCATTCGAATAAGGACAAATTAATAAATAGCAGTTGATCTAATGTACATACACAGCTGAAATAAATAAAAACTTTTCAAAAAAATAAACATTAAGAATATATACATGGAGGAATACATGGCCTATGTGAAAAATAGTGAGTTGTATCAGCATCCTTTACAAGCATTTCAAATGTCTAAAATCATATCACAAAATATAAAATCTAATGCAAACTGAATTCAAACTGAATTCAAAGATAGCATCTCTCTAGAAACACAAAGAGGAATAACATGTGATTTTGATTTGATTTGATTTGATTTGTCACAATGTCAAAGTCTATGTCAAGGGACCTTATTTAATGCTGTGGATTTAATATTAATCCTAGTAATACCAGTAGTGTAATGAATAGATACTGCTGCCACAAACTTTTAAAAAAAAAAGGTCATTTCAAATAACCCTTTCAAGACAATCATTCAACATGTTGTGGTTTAGCTCAATTAAGTTTTGATTCAGAGCCTTAAAAATTATACCTAATGAGAGAAAGTATTATTGTGCAAATTTGAAGAACAATATGTGATCAATTTATCCCCAAAGATAAATCCTGTCCAGGAAGGATTAAACTAGGAATGACAAGGATCTTATCTCTTTCATTGTCTTGATAATGGTATGGTCCTACTTTCATGTAGGGCTTAGCCATATGGCCCACTGGCCATACATGTATTTGCGATTTGGAAATGCAGCCATTGATCTCTGGCAACTAAAGGGTCTTTGTGGGGCTTACTGTAAGTGAAAGCAGGAAGTTTAATTTTTTGTTCATCTCCAAAACGATACCAATCAGCCCTGTCCACTGCAGTTGGGTCTTAAAGACGTAGTATTTATGGCTAGGCTATATGTGAAAGTGAGACTGCTGCAAATTATGCATTTCAATTGTATGTGGTCGAACTCAAGAAATCTTGTTCAGTCTGGTATATACAAATTAAGCCATCATATGCTGTCATCAAGCTTACTGAAACATCTAGTTCAACTGGACTTTTAGATCTAACATGTTTATAAGTGGCCCAAACATTGTGGAGCAGTGTGTGCAGCGCTTCGTAACCGCAAGGAAAAGGCGCTATATCAAATATCTTTTGATTGATTGATTGATATTTGTTAGTGCAGCCTGGATTTTTCTTGAAGCATTTCATTTGTTCTTCTATACAAATCAATCCCAGCCTTCCTTCACCGTAGATCTTCTATCTTTATTGGTGGGATTTGACTCGTGACCTTGCAGTGGCCCCCTTCCTCATAGATAGGGGGTTGTGAGGGGTGCGGATGGAACCCCTTCTCCTTGCAGTTGGCAATAAAGGTGATACCGTAGTCAGGTGTCAGGGAAAAGAAACAAATTCTGTAGAGGATAAAAGCATATGTATAATGATTACATTTAGGATGAAAGTTTAAATGAACATATTCTTGGGAGAAAATGGGAGTTGATGATTACTTTCTCCTATAGCGAAAATTGGAGAAATCCTTTAAAGGAATGTCACAGAGTTGTCGATGAGCGTCTAATCTTTACAAATTAGAAAATTAAAGTCATAATAATTTTATTTTTCATCTGATTTTCCTTACGACATTCACAGGTCTGTTACTCTCACTTTTCTGCTTGCAATAAAACCAACTTAAAGAGAAGGTTGAGTTCTGGGAAGAGGTGAAAAATAATTTGTAAGTGGTATCATTGTTATTATGCAAGTGTGGAAGAAAATCAGATAAAAGATGTTCCCTGGAAAGCATGGCTCTTCAAGTATGGCATGTAACAGCTTAAAAATCGGGACAGATTTTTATGACACATGTTCGTGTAGTCCCATATACATATTTCTGTGTACAGTGCTTGTAACTTTACCAAGACTGGGCTAAATTTCTTATCATTTTGATGATTCCAAAACCTTGCAGTACACACCAATACTTATATGCTAGATGATCAACCTTTTCTGATCGATTCCACATTGTTTCTTTCACAATGCAATCGCATGACCAGAACTCTACTTTATCTTTAATACTGAGCAGGGGGGATTTCCCCTTGAACAGACTTACTGCTGATGTTTGGGTGCACAGACGATAGCTATGGCTTCAGGCATCATAATCTGATACGGGCAATGGGTATGAAGATCTATACTGGACATGAAAGCCGTCTGAGAGGGATGTGTCTGCAAAAAGAAAAAAAAGCACAGGACATTAAATAGCAGCCAGCCTTTTGAACCGTACATTATACAATAAATCTCTGTGCTTTAGACAGTACTGTATAAAATAAGCAACTTTCGCTATAAGGAAAGTTTTTTGACTTGCATACCTGCCAACATTTGAAAATAAGATATAGGAATTTTTTGGACGGTATGCCTTCAAAAATAAGAAATCGCACTTGAGGCGGCAGTGTAACTGGTAATACGCTCTAAATCTGTACCAAAAAGCGAATAAAAATTCACTGCAACAAAAAACAAAAAAAGAAAAAAAGAATATCAGAATATTCCGGATATTTAGGTCCTAGAAATCCAGAAAATTGGAATATTCTTGATTATTTGTAAGGGTTGGCACTATGGACTTGTCATCAAGGGTGATTTTCACAGCAGGAAAATTTAACAAATTGCACATATTCGGATGAGTGTCAGTTGTGTCTCATTCCTTTTGAGGTATGAACATTTTGCAACAATGAACCACTTATAAAATTGGCAAACATTACATCCACCGGTAAGTTTCTCACTGTATAGTGTTATAGCGGCTTCACTGGGTAGGAAACAAGTAATGCTCTTAAATTAGGATGTTTTTCCCTCCAGGATTCTATCAAAAGAAAAAAAAGGGAACATATTACTCTATTCATCCTAGATGTTCATGTGCCTTTTTTTGCAAGCTGCATCTAATTTCATGTAATATACACAAACAATTGCACAATAATAATAATAGAATTAGGTCCATTAATATAACACAGCTACTATATAAATATACCCTATTGTGCCTAATACAAAGTATCATATTATAACCCCGGCTGTAGCGCCTCCATATTAAGGTGCTAAAGCATTCAAGGAATTCTTTCCTACCAGGTACCCATTTACTTCACCTGGGTGGAGAGTGGCAAATGTTAATTAAATGTCTTGCCCTAGGACACTGAAACTGGTTCCATTGTGGTTATTCGGTGAAAAACAAACGTCATAAAAATAAGATGTTGAACTTACATGAATCCAACCCAGAGTGATCAGATCATTGTTGTCCACGGCGTCAAAGATTTCTTCCTCGTTGAGGGCAGTACAGGAGTCAGAGGTCGACGTCTGCTTTGGAACGATGATGTGAGTGATTGTGAAGGCATCGTGAGCCTGAAACAAGAAAGGCAAAGGAAAACATTGAAGTCTTGTCTAGTCTTTCCATTGATGCCCACATTCAAAGGAGTTGAATTTATAATATTTCATCAGGGGTTAGGACTGAGTCGGTAAAGTCTCTCACACAGAGTCCTGACCTTCGCCATCAAGTCATGTACTTAAAAATCATTTGATAGTACTGGAAACTACTTTTCATGAAAAAAAGTGAGATTCTCAGGAAATGAATCACTTGTGACCGCATTTGGCCAATCATTTGATTAGGATCTAGGAGTGAGTTTAATTACAATTTGATAGTAATCACGGTAGAGGTTTACGGTACACCATGTGTAAAGTCCTAGAAGGACTAAGGAAAGTGGATAGAAATTAGAAGTGAAAACTTTACACATGGCGTACCGTAAACCTCTACCGTGATTATTCATACCACCATGCAAACCTTCAAACATCATCCAATTTGATAGTACTCATCCTATGCTTTATATTGCAAAGGACAAATATTTTCAAAAAAGAGCGAATGCAGAGAACCACAGAAAAAAAAAAATCAACTTTCTTGGAGAGACTCAACGATCACAGAGATTCAGTTCGTTTTTCCCCTACCAGGCAAATACTATATAAAGATGATGATGATGATGATGATGATGATGATGACGATGATAATAACTATAATACTACCCGTACTTCCAATAATATTAATAACAATAATGATTAATAATAACAATACAAATAAAACTACCTGGGGGGTGTTTCATAAAGCTGTTTGTAAAGTTACGCATGACTTTACGAACGACTTGTATATGAAAAGCCAAATGGGATGCTCAATCATTATTGCTCAATCATTGATTATTATTTATTAAGTTGAACTATGCAGATGTAGATTAACATTCTTATTATAACAACCATTCTTTATGCAAAGTATATTTTTTGCCACTATTCAATTGAGGTTATTGGAAATTTCAGAAAAAATTTGGGCATCCTATCTGGCACTTCATATACAAGTCGTTCGTAAAGTCATGTGTAACTTTACAAACTCTTTGGCCCGAATTCACAAAGGAGGTTTGTCGACAAACCTTGGTTTTCGTACTTCATATGACGCGTTTTACGCGTTTTTTACAAACCTGGTTTGTAAAGAACAAAAGGAGGTTTGGCGAAACAAAAGGAGGTTTGAGCTCAAACCTTAGTCTGAGCTCAAACCTTGCTTTGTGAATTCGGGCCTATATGAAACACCCCCAGGTATTATTAATAACAACACCAGTAATAATATCAATAACTCACCAATTTCCCTGCTAGAATACCGCATGTTTCTAGGTTTCTCTGGGTATTATGACTGGCCAGAACTAGAAACCTCTCCATGGTATCAGCTGGAATGAACAGGTCTCTCAAGCCATGCAGGTTGGATGTGGAGGAGGCAATGCCTAACATCTGAGCTGGTTTATTGGTACGGTCAATCTTGAGTGACCGGTCCACTGTGGGGGCTGGCCTAGATTGGGAAAGGAAATATACATGTAGGTGGGGATTACACGATTGATACACTCAAACCTTGCTATGACAAACTCCCTATCTTGGGGCTCATGAAATTTGCCTTTTATAAGGAAATCTTTTTATTTTAGAGCTTAAAATTAAAGAACTGTTGTGATAGAATACAGAATCATTCCATTTCCCTGCCCCTCTTTGCTCTCCACTGCACCCTTCCCCTTTCTTTCCTTACTCTCTTTACTTCTTGATCCCCCCCCCCCCCACCACCCCACCTAAAATTTCTTAGGAAGCACGAATAAGGGTAATCAGATACTGTATCCTTCTGCCTGCTACTCCCCCCCCCCCCCCCCCTGAATTGAACCAAACTACTACTTGGATGGTAGAGGCAATGAGACTGAAAAAGAAAAGAGTAATAGTTACCCCCCACCTCTTCACTCCATAATCTCAAATCAGATTCCTACCTTGGGGCTGTAGGCTGTGTGGGTGAGGAAGGCAAGACTTGAGGTGATCGGATACCATATCCTTGTGAGACAGCGTCGTAACTAGGAGGAGGGGGTAGATTCCCCCCTGCCCCCATCCCTGCGACCAAGCCTGCTGCACCACCAGCTGCAATGGGTGTAGCTATGCTCCCTGCATGAATGAATGAATGAATGAATGAAGAATGATAAGAGAATCATGGTAAGGGTTCAGTCATCATAGGATGAACAATACATGTGATGACTTTAATGTAAATATGTAAAATATTAATGCTGCCCATACTGTAAAATGAAAGAATAGCAACAACAACAAAAAATGTCTATAATGAATATGTGGTTACTAAATAGACAAATGTTCATGATGATTCCTTTTTGTGGTGAGGGTGGAATTGGGGGTGGGGGGGGGGGTGTGGGGGTAAATGTAATAATGAACTGAGAACTTCAGCAAATATGACTTTTGACAGCTACATGTATAGCTTTCACCAACACTGAACAGGCTTATTACTTTTCATCTGCAAACAAGTATATTTTTTGAGGTGGTTGAAGATGTTTCGCTCAATCACTTAAAATGTTCTTACACGAGGGAAAAAGCAGTTATTCTTGGGCATTTGTGCAGTGGTTAACCCCCTCAAGTGAGAATGAAACCTCTTAGAGTCTCCTTATTTTTCTGTTTGAAGATACGAATGTGAACACTGTCAAACATGAACAACAACAAACACAAATATCAAGAAATAAACTTACCTGCTAATCTCCTGTTTCCTTCTGCTTGCCATTCTTGTTCATTCAATGCATCTGCTTTCTACAAAGAACAAGGAAAAACTAGTCAATTCCCTTAGGTAAAAACAGCAATTCAGACGTTCAGATTTTGATTATTAAAAAAGAACTAAATTTTTAAACAAAATAGTTCTTAACCAAAGAAAACAAGGGTCTACTCCTGCTTCAGTGATCCAAGAGGATATAGATCTCCATTAAAGTTTTATTTTCATGTTTTGAAAATGAACTCTCTAAAAAGGATGTTTTTTTTCCAATCTATTACAAAATCTTCATTAAAACAAACACAGAAAGAACCTAAAATCAGAATCAGATACCAAAAGAGTAATTATGAACACCTGATGATGTTTACCCATTCAGCGTGTTTCCACAGAAAAAAAGTGGAACACGGATTATCTTTTCCGGGATCGAAATACCGTGTCGCGGCGACACGGTATTAAACCAATCTGTTTCCACAGAGCGCAGCATTCCGATTAGCCCCAATTCCTTGTTCCAAGTCAGGCAAATACTGTGTCAATTGGAAGTCAAGATTCAACCTTTGACTTCGATCGTGGATCCAGATCTACACAGGATTCCACAGGATCATATGTGGTTCGAACGAGTTGTTCTCCCTCCCGCCAGACACGGTTTGTCGCTGTGTGTTTCCACAGCGATTTCACACAGATCAACACGGCAATAACCACCTCCCAGAGGTGGTTATGATAATCCGTATCTCGGTCAACACAGGTCGCCAATAAACCGTGTTGCTTGTGTTTCCACAGGAAAGTTACACTGTATTACACGGTAATACACCGGTAATACCATGTAACTTTTTTCTGTGGAAACACGCTGATTGATTCCAGGAACCGGGTGGGCCCTACATCAAACCTTTGTGGAGCCAAGGAGCATATTCTTTCTATGCTATCAGTAATGTTTCTCATGGAAACCTGTATGTAATGGGAACCTGTCCACTTTTCTTCTTTCTTTGAGTTGTCTTTGAAAATGAAGATAGAACAACCAAGGTGATGTAAATGGGTACCTGGCAGGAATTAATTCTTTGAAATGCTAGAGCGTCGTAATGGCAGACCAGCTAAAGCTCGAGGTAATAATCTAATAAAGTATGGAAGCGTTTAGTGATTGTAATAAGCCTATACAAAAACTGAGTATCATTATCTAGGTGACCATTTACCTTCCTCTCTTGATCTAGAGCTTCCTGCTTTGCCTTGGCCTGCATGAGGCTAGCCTTCTGACCATCTAGCTCCCTCTGTTGTTGATCGATTGAATGTCTCTCGAGCTCCTCCAGCTGCCTCCTCTGTTCATCAAACCTTGCAGTATCCTCCTGCTCCCTCCTAGCATGTTCCTCCTCCAGTCTCAGGGCTTCCATTGCCTCTTGTCGCGCCTCCTCTGCTCTCCTTTCATCCTAGGGAACGAAATGACAAATATACACACTTCAAATGATTGCTTAAAGAGAAGGTCGAGTTCTGGGATGAGGTGGAAAATGATTTGTGAGCGTTATCATTGTTATTATGCAAGTGTGGAAGAACATCAGATTAAAAATGTTCCCAGAAGAGCATGGCTCTTCAAATGCCTTAATATTCTAAATATGGCAAGTAACAGCATAAAAGTTGTGACAGATTTTTATGTCACATGTTTGTGTAGTCCAATATACATCTTTCTGTGTACAGTGCTTGTAACTTTACCCAGACTGGGCCAAATTTCTTATCATTGTGATGACTCCAGAACCTTGCAGTACACACCGATACCTATATGCTAGATGATCAACCTTTTCTGATCGATTCCACACTGTTTCTTTCACAATGCAATCGCATGACCAGAACTCAACTTTGTTTTTAAATTCAATGCCTCAATCCGGAAGGTAATGATTTGTGTTTGTCATAGGCTTTGGGTTGGGTTATTGGATTACACAAACTTTCGTGAAAAAAATACCCCTTATATTCACAAAGGGTCGGGTAAATCGAATGTAAATAATCACATTTCGTTCAAAGATGAGATCTTTGAGATAAGCCTGATCCTTCTTATTTCCATACAGCTATGAGGGTTGAACTACATCCCCAAAATGCATCTTTTGTTATGAACTGTCTCATATCAGAAATCACCTGATTGTGATTATCTACTTTAAACATGTCTACGAGCTGTAACTTCATAGGTAATATTTCAAAAATAAATGGACACACAGAGATTTTTTTTTCTTTTCTTACCGAAGTCCACGGCAACTCCCCCCCCCCCCCCCCCCCCCCCCAAAAAAAAGAGAAAAATGTTGAAGATAAAGGTGAGTTCTAGTAAACAAAACAAAAATGAATTGTCACAGAATCAAACGAAACTTACACTGAATGTTAAAGATTGCAAATAAATGCCATTTGCCAAACAATTTTGGTAGAAAATGTATACTGGCTGAGTAATAAGCATATAAAGATTAGAAAATCAAGATTAGAAAATCAAGGTTAGTAGCCCCTGACACCATTTGTGTAGTCCCATATACATCTTTCTGTGTACAGTGCTTGTTACTTTACCAAGACTGGGCCAAATCTATTATGATTTTGATGACTCCAGAACTTTGCAGTACACACCAATGCTTACATGCTACCTGATCAATATTTTCTGATCCATTCCACACCTTTTCTTTTACAATGCAATCGGATGACCAGAACTCACCTTTATCTTTAAGAATTAAAACTATGTGATGAAACATCTCTATATATTCACCTTTGTTACAGTGAAATGGGGTTTCACTGGAACCAAGGATTCATGGATTCAATTAAATATTTTTGTTATGGAATGAAGTATGGAAGCTGAACATACCTCCTGAACTTGCCATATCTTGTGTTCCTCTGCATACTTCTCTCTTAATTTCTTCTTTGTTTCCTCTGCATTCGGAAAGGCCGACTTTAAATTCTAGGGGAGAAAATATGATCAACAATATATTCAGTTGTAATCTATACTAGGCAGTTTAAACTTGCCAATCATTAACAATTGATAACAAAAACATTGGAATCTGCATTTTTTTTTTCTTTTAGCACTTATTTCAGAATGTTTTAAGTTCTCATTTTGGTTTGGAAGTACAACATTCAGTTGTTTACAATATCACTACAAGACAACATCAACTCTTAAAAGCTCATTTATGACAGCTGTTCAAAACCTTGCTGGCACAGAATGGGTTAACTACCACAAGCACAAATAGGATGAACTCTACAGTGTATCAATCACTAAAAAAAACATTTTATTTTGAATGATGGTACTTTCAAAATATGAACTTTAAATATTATTAGGAGATTTTGCAAGTTTAAATACTCTCAATTAACATTAAAGTAACTTGTGAGTACAATACCTGCTGCACTCTTACATGGTCAAATTAAACAGGGCCCCACAGAAGCCAAGTCCCACTTGAATTCCAGGTGCGCTTACGTTATTCTTTATTTTCTTTACACTCCTTATCTGTAAGCCAACATAGAGCTTGGTGAAGTCTGAGATTTGATTTTATACATTCTAAGCTGTACACATTTTGTTGTTGAAAGGTGATTGGTACACTAGAATACTTTCATTCACAATTATTTAAAAGATGAAGGTGAGATTCGATCTCCTCAAATTGCTTACCTTCTTTGCAGATTTTAGATCTTCTGGTCTGGCTGCCTTGTACTGAGGATGCTTTCGTATCTTCTCTACAAAGATTCTGCAAAGTCAGAAAGCAAGAATCAAAATCACTTTGATATAATCATCGTGGGTTTTTTCCCCAATATATTGATGAAGGTATGAATTAACATAAACCAAATCAATGACTTTGTATTAGAACAATAATAATTCTACAATAAAAAACAATAAAAGCAATTTACATGGAAGTGGACTTGTTAGGCTGACTTTAAATAGTCTTTGTAAAGAGATCACATACAATATTCAGACTTTGTTAATGAATTACATAAAAGATTAAACATGATCAAGGACTGTTAAAGATAATAAATGTTTGACTCAGAGTGACAAAAGAAAAAGACGTTTTCATTACACTTACGTCATATATTTGGAATACAAAATGAATGCACTCTCCCAGTTCCCCTCTTCGTAGTAAATGTTTGCCTGCCAGAAGAAGAGAAACAAAACACTTCTTTAAAATAAAAGTACTATGCTGAGTAATAATGTAGTTACTTTATGATTCAATGAAACATAAGATCCCTAGGGAAACTTGAATTTTTTAGGACAGTTAAGCTTCCCTTTATAACTTTCAATTTTTCAAATGTGTACATCTGATACAGAGTCAAGGTGCTAAGTTGCTAACAATGTTTTTTTGACAGGTTAAAAAAAAAAATCTTAATTGACAATATCAACAAAACTTTACGATTCAATATTCACCTTGCCTAAAAAAATACAAAAACAAAACACAACCCCCCCCCCCCCCCCTCAAAAAAGAAGAAGAAAACAAACAAAAAAAGCTCTAGACAAACATATATCCATCAATCTTCTCTGAGGAAATTTCACAATTTTTTTTTTAAAGCCTGCATGAAAAATAAGCAAAATAAAAATGTCTTACACCGCAGTTGCTGCATGTACAAAGAAAATAATGAGAGGAAACAATCATTTCTCTTACCATCTTAATCATCTCCTGGCCTGATCTAAAGTACCTTCTGATTGGAAGGTTCCCATCCACCACGATATTAGACCCATGCTCTGCCAGACTGCGGACCCGCTGACCTGGCTCAATACTCGGATCTTGCTGCATCACCATGTTGCCAGTTTGATAAGAGTCACCTGAGTAATAAAGTTACAGGTTCATGTACATGTATGTAATCTTGAGTTGATGAGTTCTCCCGATATCAAATCATATGATGTAATATTAACCCAATTTAGAGACCGGAGACTGTAATCATTCTTGTCATTTTTAGTAAATATTTATTAGACAAAATTGACAGCTTGCCGTAAAATATAAAACATGTGTTTGTCTTAATTATAAATCTACACATCGCTCATGTATTTGCACAAGCTGAAGCCCGCGGGTATGGCCAGGCCAGTTTTGGGGCAGTAGTTCTTCGTGTTTAGGAAAAATACTCCCAAAAAAGATATGAAAATTGATATGAAACAGGGAAGAAAGATAATGAATTTTAAATCATGACCATTATTTGAGAACTGTTGAAGATTTAGTTGATTTTTGGTATGTAGAGTAGAGAATCTCCACGCCAGAGTCACAGGTCAAAGTCTGATTATGATTCTGAACTAGCGCCAGTTTTTTTGTAAGCAAGCTCTTTTCTGTAAAATTTTAAATTGTGCTTCCACATTCATCAAAAACTCCAAAAAAGTTGCACTCAACGGCAGGCACAGAGCAAAAAATAAATTGTAGGGGTGGCTGCTTGCAGTGTGGCAGCTGAGCTCGGAAGGGAGAGGTTCCCCCATCCCACTCTAGCAAAGCGTAATGCCATGCTAATGCATATTGACCTCTATAATAACACAGATATAACACACATTACAAACACAATTGCACGCTAATGCACACAGTGAATATGAAGTGGCTGATAGGCAAGTTTGACAGTAGACTCACGATTTGAATTTTCAAAATATTCTTTCTAGATCTAAGTAAAATCTAACATTGGTAGGCAAATTCATGCAAAAAAATATATTCAAAAAATTGACTTGAAAACACATCAGACAATTAGTCTGAACCGAGTCAGGAGCAGATTTGAAGAAATTATATTTTTAAATGTTGTAAAACGAAAGATATAAGAAGAAAACTGACCAAGTATCTGTACTAAAAATCGTACATGTAAAATTGGTCGTACACATTCGACAGCTCTAAATGACGCGCACGGTTGCGTTACATGCGTTCTCGAATCCAAAATCACACTTCACACACACACTCTCACCGTACCGCGAATGGTCCGTCGTGGGGAGCTAGGCGGCTGAGAGTTTGCAGCGATACCAACGCAGCTTCGGAGCTCCGCAGCGCGCCATTTTAGCGGGACTCGGAAAGGTTCGCGGTGGGAAGGCAGCGGCCTAGCTTTTTTGCCCAAACAACGCTAGATCGGCTGCTGGCAAAATGAAAATAACTACGATCGAGAACATCGTCGGTTTCTTAACTTTTCAGTGAGATAATTCTGAATTCTAATTGAGACTATATAATAAATTAAATCGACAAAGAAACCTCGGTAGAACTCTTATAACTATACAAAAGCTTGTTTATTTCTTCATTTGACATTTTGTTTTTGACCATTTTTTCGTGCGCGAGTCAATGCAAGCTATGTATTACCAAACTTTCAACACGCAAGGAACGGGGAACACTCGCAGACCTCGTATCAAATTCGTTGCAAAAAAAAAAATCAAGGGTGATTTTGAAGCAGTGCAGAATATTGGCGCTGCAATGCGCAGAAATATACTTGAAAGAAACTTAAAAAATCATACCTGAATTTTCAGAAAATCGTATTTGTATTAGTGTACCTAGATGTGAATTGTTTATAACTCAGATTTTATGAAGATTTGTCGGGAAAAAATGTCAATTTTTTCCGTTTGGTGGTCATTTCTAGGCTAATATTTTAAAAGTTACTTCAGTAATGGTCCCGATGTTTCTCTTATCATACTCGCATGTTATTCCTACATAGATTAAACATTGGATGGTTAAGGGTAAGACCGGATAACATTATAAAAAAGATATATCCTTCCAACCTCCCATATCCAAGTTTTGGGCTGATTATTGCCGACCCACCGCAGCAAGGCCATTCAGATTTTCGTACGCGACCGAAGCGCCCTCTAGTGCCCCATGAATGTGCCTAACATTGGAAAGTTGAAAAGATTGTATTTTACTGCTATTTAGGTTTCTTCAATTGTCACTAAAGTAACGGTTTTGAGTGATCTCAGCTCAGTCGAGTTTTGAACAGTGGTGTTTGAAATGTTGAAACCAATAGAACATTTTTTAAGTCACAGCCAGGATAGTAATGTAGCTATGTGTGGTTCCCCCAAAATACTGCGCAAGTCATCATCATCACTCACATATGAACACATCATATCTTACAAGCGGGACTGTAGTTTCTGTAAATAGAATGAATTTTCTTTAATTCACACTCGGAACTCATTTTCATCTCAAATGTAAGGCAAATTAAACTTACTCCGTAAATGTTCTTTTATCTCAGCCTCCTTTTTGATCGGTATCAACTCACGAAACGCAATCTCAAGGCTTATAAAAATGACGATTTCTTCCTATTTTAGGAAATTACGTTTGTCGGGCATATTGTAGTAGAGTGAGTCGCAATGAAGATTCTACGATTGATCGCCCTATACGAGACATAGGGTCAGTGCACAGAGTATGGTTGAGATGTTACACCAGTCTTTACCTACTATCATCTTCCTCCCCCCCCCCCCCCCCCCCCCCCGTTTATTCCCAGCATTTCTTTTTTTTTTCTAAATTAAAAAAATATCTCGTCATATTCCATCCATTTTATTTCAGACCTCATCTTTATTCCTTCCATTTTTCTTTTCTTAACGATTATGAGCTCTGTTTTTGTCTGCCTTCTCCAAATCTTCGATTTCCGTCTCTATTTAAATTCACCAATATTTTCTTCTTCTGGCTGCATACCTCTGATTATGAACAACGTATCAAAGAATAATTGATCATTTACAGCAAATTCATAATGTCAGTATCTTGTCCTTCTGCCTCAAATCTACTTGAATTTTTATCATAATTGGACCGAATAGGTCTTGATCGTTTGTTGAGTTTTAATCCCGGGTTTTGATTTTTTGTTCAATATCATCCAACAATGAATTAGTAAATTTCCAGTAACCTGGACCTACCCTACAATGATTTAAATTCATAGATAAATTTACCAGGATTATCCAGGTAATCCAGGTAAAATCTCTATTCTATTTAGTGACTCAGACAGTAATTCAGTGGAGACCAACAAAATCCAATCTCGCTGCCCAGTAAAGCGGGACTGCACTACTGGTACCTAGCTAGTTGCGCCCTCTATACAGCCAGCAATATGAAGCGGCTCCCGTTGATCCCCCATGGTCCCCTTTTGCTGATGTTAATTGAGAGCAGGCGCGTAGCCAGGGGGGGGGGGCGGTGGGGGCGGTCGCCCCCCCCCACCCCCCCCCCCCCAAAAAAAAAAACGCCGGCCAAAAAAAAAAAAAAAAAAGAGAGAAAGAGAAGGAAAAAAAGAAAGAGGACGTAGGAAGAAAAAGGGAAAAGGAGTCGAGAACGGTACAATGAATCGTCAAAGCTTCCGCGCTTCGCGCGGGAAGGGGGAAACTGAGTTCAAATTAAGAAATATGAGTCGGGAAAGGTACAACAAATCGTCTTCTTTCTCTAATAATTTAATGAAACGTCAAAGCCTCGGGCGAGAGGGGGGGGGGAAGAATTCAGACAAGGATCGAGAAAGGTACAACGAATCGTCTTCTTTCTCTAATAATTTAATGAAACGTCAAAGCTTCGCGTGAGAGAGGGGAGGGACTGAATACAGATAAGGATTAAGAGTCGAGAGAGGTACAACGAATCGTCTTCTTTCTCTAATAATTTAATGAAACGTCAAAGCTTCAGAGAGGGGGGGGGGGAACAGAATTCAGACAAGGATTAAGAGTCGAGAAAGGTACAACGAATCGTCTTCTTTCTCTAATAATTTAATGAAACGTCAAAGCTTCGCGTGAGAGAGGGGAGGGACTGAATACAGATAAGGATTAAGAGTCGAGAGAGGTACAACGAATCGTCTTCTTTCTCTAATAATTTAATGAAACGTCAAAGCTTCAGAGAGGGGGGGGGGGAACAGAATTCAGACAAGGATTAAGAGTCGAGAAAGGTACAACGAATCGTCTTCTTTCTCTAATAATTTAATGAAACGTCAAAGCTTCGCGTGAGAGAGGGGAGGGACTGAATACAGATAAGGATTAAGAGTCGAGAGAGGTACAACGAATCGTCTTCTTTCTCTAATAATTTAATGAAACGTCAAAGCTTCAGAGAGGGGGGGGGAACAGAATTCAGACAAGGATTAAGAGTCGAGAAAGGTACAACGAATCGTCTTCTTTCTCTAATAATTTAATGAAACGTCAAAGCTTCGCGCGAGAGAGGGGAGGGACTGAATTTAGACAAGGATTATGAGTCGAGAAAGGTACAACGAATCGTCTTCTTTCAAAGCTTCCGCGCTTCGCGCGGGAGGGGGGAAACTCCCCCCTCCCTGCACCCACCCCCCTAGGGAGCGCGCTTCGCGCGCTCTTTAAGTGATTCGCACGCTTTGCGTGCTCATTACCGCCCCCCCCTAAAATGAAATCCTGGCTACGCGCTTGATTGAGAGCTGATTTGATGAGAATCAGCCACCTGCCAGTGAACACGACGGGGCCGGAGGTATAATCCCTCCCGTGGCCAAACTAGTGCAGATAGGCTTTAAGGAGTAGGTTGACGCCATGTAAACATTTTTCCTGTACATGTAATTCTCTCCATGGGTTTATCAAATCTAAATCATTCTTCCAAGTTTTGATCAACTTTTTTCTTGGTATTAGGATTATTAAGACGAAGATGTATCTTTATCAAAATCTAATTGGACCAAGTTCCAATCCCCGCATAAAATTGTTAAAGCCAGGGTAATAATCGGGAGCGCCAAGAGTGTCAAGTCTTACAGACATGAGCGCTATATAGAACCAACCATTATAATAATAATTATTATTATTAACAAAATTCAAAGCAAGTCTCTCAATATCTGCATAAAAACTAACACCATCGCGATTAGGCCATACAATAATATTAACGTTGTGTCATAGTTATAAACTTGTATGTCTAAACCAACAAAATTCCCTCCTTATAATCCTTCAAAAAATGTTAAAGGAAACCAAAACCTTCATACTAAGTTACTTTTATTGTAAAGTTTAAGATATTGGAAAAATATCAGTGACAATTTGAACAAAATCGGGCAAGGAATAAGGAAGTAAGAGTGTGTGTGTGTGTGTGTGTGTGTGTGTGTGTGTGTGTGTGTGTATTGGGTTTTTACAGACGTGTATCAATCAGATATGATTATTTACGTCTGGGACCGACCTTTAAACGTCACCATCCGAAAGACGTGACTCAGTTTCGAACCTGCGTCCTCGGCTGAATCAGTTTGTAACTTCCACTTTTTTTAGCTGGATTACAGGCGCACGCCACAACGCCAAAGAATAATTGCTTGACATACACGTTTCGCTGCATCTTTTTTAAATGACTAGTCACTAGAGGGCGGTATTCAATTTGATGACATCATCTGTGAACAACTCTCCATGCCTTTTGTACATCAAATTTCATTCCTTCTTTCTTGTGATTGAGATAATGTACTCCCCCGAAAGCAAGATATAGAATGCAAAATGATATTCTACTTTACATGTTATGAAGTCGGATCAAGAACGCAAATAAATACGAAGAAAACAAAAAAAATTGTGAAATTGTATGTACAAAAGGCATGGAGAGTTGTTCACAGATGATGTCATCAAATTGAATACCGCCCTCTAGTGACTAGTCATTTAAAAAAGCTCTTACTTCCTTATTCCTTGCCCGATTTTGTTCAAATTTTCACTGATTTTATTCAAATCTTTTAAAATTTACAATAAAAGTAACTTAGTATGAAGGTTTTGGTTTCCTTTAACGTTCAATTGCACCCTTTCCCAAACAACATAGCAACACCTTTGGCATTTGACGCTAAAACAATTACCTCCCCAAAATCGTTATAGAAGCTTCTTCTTCAGCTACAAAATGTGTATCTTGCAAGCAACCGTGACAAATTAGAAACTGTTTTACCTTAACGAATTCTAAAACATCTTTTCTCTTATCACGATTTACTAAACCTCGACTGTTCAACTAAATGATATTGAAATATCAACTTTACCGCGGAACTATGAATATCAAATCCTTTTTTAGGAGTTTTTCTTAATATTTTGTAACATCAAACAAATAACACTGCATGATTGCACTATGTGCTAGCCCTCAAAAACAACTACTCAGTGTAACACCTATAGCAACTAATACAGTGATGTCTAGCACAAACGAATCTACACATACCCACGGAGGGAAATATACCCGGAAATATATCAAACGCATCTCCCGCGAAAAAAGTCTAAACAATTAGTTTTTTGCCCACGCATCTGGTGATTTAAAAGTACATGATCATATTCCATTGTTCATTCGTTTAACGCATTAAAAACACAAAGTGGATCATGGAAAATTTGTTAAAGATTAGTTTGATCAAGGACCAAGTTTATTATGTATTCACGTTTTGTTTTTGATTTAAAAAATAGCCCCCCCCCCCCCCGAAAAAAACTAGTTATAATGACGTAACTGTTAATCATTAGAAAAGAACGTGGAAGGGCTAATAAAAAAAATATGGAAAGGGTGTCTTTTCTTATCCCTTTTTCTTTTCCTTTTCTTTATTGGCCTCATGAATAATCAACATAACAAAGAACAGTAAACCATAACTAAAACGTAGTTTGTAGGCCCACATCTTGACCGTTATCATCAATATCCGCATTACTCCCCCCCCCCCCCCCCCCCCCCCCCTCTTAAAAATGTGCACTTTATGTCATTTGGTGGTGATGATGATTTTTTTTTTTTTTTTTTTTTTTTTGTTCGGCCCCAAAAAAGTTTTTGCACATTACGCCTTTGCTCATGCATATCCCATTAATAATTGAACAATGGTGCCTTGCGCTGCCAATGAGGAAATACTAATTACCACCTTTAGAAACCGTATCGAAAACTATTTGTTCATTAATAAATTTCAGCTAGGCCGTTTTGGTTCACGGAATATAGTTTATTTTTCTCCGTCAATCATGCTCTCTTTTTGTATGATTCGTAATGTTTTGTTATTGACAACAAGTTTCGTGAAACAGGGCTATGGTATTTATATCAGTGTGTGTGTGTGTGCGTGTGCAAATTGTTTTGATATTTTTCTCTCTTCATATACCACATTCTGGGGGAGGTACGTGGTGTACCGAATCACACTATTGCCACCTCGGCCCACTAAACGACCTTAATCATTAACGTACATTACTTCCTGATAATTATAAATATATCATATAACCGCAATCTGTTACTTCATTCCAAGCAAATATAATTTATATAACATAATTTTATACAGCTTCCTCCTCTCTTGCAATGTACGTAACTTGTTGATTCGTACTTTGTGTACTTTACCATCTCGATTAGGGTCATTAATTATTTATTGATTGATTGAATACTCGGAATTGTTATTCCGGTCATGATGGGAAAAGCGGGAGAACTTTGTAAGTCAGTTCCTGGGGCCTAAAGCTAAGGTAAAAACTTTCAAAGCTCTTTGTAAGCGCTTAGAGACGTTATTTCATAATGTATTATGCGCTATATTGAATAGTATTATTGTGCTTGGTTAAAGTTTTATCCCAAGGCCTTAGTATCAAGACTGATGCTTTAATCACTGACTTATACAAACATCCCTCAAATCCAATTGAATATAAGTTATACAAATAAAAGACATCATGTAATACTTGAATGTGTTACAGTAATAACATTAATAGTAGAGTCTTGTATAATAGGGCCTATGTCTGGTACAGTGTCACTCCTGTGCTCCATTAGTACCCCGGCCTAATCACAGCTGCTGGGTATACCTCACCTGCTTTGGGTACTGGGTAGAGTGTGGAAATTTGTGCCATATAAGCCTCTTTTTCTAAAGTCGTTTTAGAAGTTTGCCAATGCTCAGTAAAACTTACACCCAATCACCCTACGTCATATCATACAGACAAAATCCATAGGGTGATCATAACAATGTGATGTAAGCTTCTTGCAAGCTTAACATCTAGTATGATAATAATGATAACTAGACATATATACCGCCGTCTATCAAGACAATTCTATTCCGAGGCGCACAAGACAAATATAAATAGTAAGAGAGTTTGGATGAGTGTCATAGTGCCAAGTACAGGTATTGTTAAAAAAAAGATGAGATTTCAGCTTGGATTTAAAGGTCTCTCAGGGAGTTATGATTCTCAAATTAAATGGTAAATTATTCCAAAAAGAATTAGGTGCTGCAGCTGAAAAGGCCCTTTCACCACAATATGCAATTTGTTTCCTTCATCCCACTCATTGGGGCTTTCTCAGCTATTTGACACCATTTCTTGCTGTCGAGTTCAATTATTAGCGGAGACAGAACGAGATGCGTTTTTAAATATATTTCTACTGTAAAAGACAAGTAAATCAATCCATGCCTATATTATATCGACTGTTTGTTTGTTTGATTGATTTTATTTCTGCGTTCCAATAACAAATACAAGGTTATACATTTTGTTTACATAAGTGTTACAAACATAGCAAATTGTGTAATGTGTGCCAGCAGAGGAATGATCATAACAACCAGAAAATTAAAAAATAAAGTTTTCGTGCATGACTGAAACCTCAACCTTTCGTACAACAAAATGAGTTTCTTTGAATAAATATATAGATGTATATATGCCTTTCTTTCGAATTTTGCTGTGGTATTGCGAAGGCCTTTTCAACATTGGAACAATGAGTCAGACTGTGATTCAAGGAAAACAGTGCCGCGTGCAAAATTGACGAGCATCCAATTATATCGTTTATTCCATAAATGGAATTCTCTCATCAAAGAATTAACGAGAGTAGAATCTATATAATAGAGGGATTTTATTTTCATTGGCATTAATTTCCGATAAAACTCTTCACCTCTAGTATCACTCTGGCAAGGAGAAGTTAAAGCAAGGATTGTTGGATATCATCGAGGAAGAAAGGGTTCTATTTCGAGTTTGAGAAAAAACACGGTAGGAGGGAAAGATAGGAAGATGATGCCGAGATTGGTAGTACTCCTCCTGGGATGCTGTCTGGCGGCTGTCGGCTCTATGGCAGCAGAACAGATTGAAACCCAGGATCAGATTTGGGTATGTATTATGCTGTTAATTGTTTAATAACATAATTTACAACAAAATGTTTTTGTTGTTGTTGTAAGGGGTGTACTATCTTTTGTCCGATACTGCATAATATATAGAAGTGTCGTAGTCGAGTGGTTAATCACTCGACATGAAATTCAAAGGTCGTGGTTCGATCCCGATACGGCAGTAATGTCCTTTGGCACGACATTCATCGTCATTGGCCACACTCGACCCAGGTGAGGTAAATGGGTACCTGGCAGGAATTTATTCCTTGAAAAAGCTAGGGTGCTGTAAAGGCAGCTAGGCTAAAGCAGGAGTAGTAATAAATGCGCCTCAGAATAGAATTTCTAGATAGATGACGCTATAGAAATGCCTATTATTATTATTGTTATACTGTTGTCCATAAAGTTGGAATAATAACAGCTAAAATATAACCTTTTACAAAAGTATACTAAAAAGCTTTTACAAAAGTACACTAAAAAGACATGCCTTACTGCAATACAGACAATGAGGAGTACACATTGAATGTGTATCTGTGCAAAATATTTTTTTCATAACAAGAGTATAGCATACTGAGGATATTGTTCAAATATTGTTTTTGTCAGTTTTTGACATTTTATGCCTTTGAATTCCTGTTGTTTTTTTGCCAGTTTATATAATCATACCTTTCTCTCGCTTAAGTCATACGGGTGTGTGCCTCTCTAATGGCTCACTTTTTTTTTAACAAAATACCCTTAACATGGGTCCATTTTCAACAAAAAAAGCCCTAAACATAGGTCCGTTTAATGTAAATGTTGGCTTTCTGTTGGCCGCTTTTTTCATGCTGGTTACAAAACGGACAACAGCCGACACATTGTTATTATTATTATTGAATTATTAAAAATGAACTGTCAATACATTTCTTTTTAAGGGGAGCTGAATTGGAATAATCGAATTTAATCTTAACTTCACACATTTTGGGGTCTAAAATTACCTTCTTAAGAATAAAAGCAATATATAAAAATGCTCTTTGAAGGCATTTGTGGTCTTAAACAAGAACTCAACTGTCCCTTGAATTCACCATTTCATGACTTGTGTGAGCCTTGTAGGTGCGAATGGTCTTCTTTGTAACTGTTCACGCTAAATTGTTATCTATTATCGGTGAGAACGTTCAAATTAAAGGGTCATGTACAGGATAAAAATACAATTTGAATGAAAATCATTCTCTGGCTGTTTCTATGAGAACACAAAATGGAACAAGAATCCGTGCCATAAAAATATACTAAAATTGTCACAGGCACTTCAAGAGTCGGATACATTATTGGAGTCCATTTCTAACCTTTGCGGCAGACATTATATATGAATGAACGATCTCTCCAGAAATGATGTACTCTGTTTTCTACAAGAATCTGCAGAGTGTAGGTTTTTTAAGAATTTCTTGAAGGTGTGGAGTGATTCTGAATCCTTCCAGGTTTTGGGGTCTGTTGATGGTACCAATGCCCACCCCCCCCCCCCCCCCTAATACCACTGTCTCACGTACCAACGAGACCGACGCCAGATCAAGTTCCAGCTACTCGATCGATATTATCAGAAATCATTTATCTCTTACAAACTGCATCAAATACGTTAAATGCTCATGCACAAACCCACCCTCATTCACACACACGAGCGCACATTTTAATGTACCACTTAGTTCCCTATAGTTCTTTGCGGACCATTGGTGTGCAACGTACATTCGTCTTTCATTGGGTTCTTAGCTAGAGTTTTCGCCTCCTCCCGGCCTCCTCCCACTAAGCTCGTCCTCAATCTTATTTTTCCGAGTCTTTCATCACTATCCCTTCCTCCTCGACCTCTCATTTCTTCTCTACCTGGTAACCCTTAATGATGATGATTATTATTATTATTATTAAAACAAATATTTCAAAAAATTAATCGTTAATTCAAATAATAATGATAAGACAAATCTATATTTTTTTAAGTTCACATTCATTACGCAAGGTTTTGAAGGCGTTTCAAAATTTCCCTGTTTTCGCTTCTAACAGCAATCAAGGAATCGTTCCCTATATCGGTACCCATTTAACACATGGGTGGAGAGTGGCACATGTAAATTAATGTATTGCCAACGGGCAATATAGTGCAGCGACGCGACTCGAACCGCGAACCATGTGATCCATAGTCAGATGACGTATCCACTATACCACGATACTTCTCACGTCTAAAACAATCGCAGAAACAACCTTGACAACGATTTATCATAACTTGTCTAATTAAATTCAATGTTGTTTTTTCTATCTATGAACAGGAATTCATGAAGAAATATGGCTATATCATGGAGGACGATATGGTGAATGGAATGCCAAAAGATGAGGAAACCAAGACAAAGTCCATTATATACTTCCAGAAAATGGGAAATATGACGATGACAGGTAATCAGTTGTTTTGGATGTATTTTTAGTCGTGACTCTGTTCGAAAGATTGTCAAAAAGCTTTTATCATTATTATTGTAATTATTAAAGGGATAGTTGAGTTCTGTTGCAGAGGGCGCTACACAAAATATTTTTTTGTGAGATAATGAAAAACTGAGTGTCAAATTTGAAAGAACATAATATTTAAATGTCAAAATCATCTTTGTTTGATCAAAATCGGTTCAGAGACAGCTGAAATATCCATAAATATATCGATTTCGTACCACCACAAATATTAGAAATTTTGAAAAATTTGAAAAAACCGTTGAAAAACCGAAATAACGGCTTTTACGTCATATTTCAGCCAATACCGATGTTAGCTTTTTTGTTGGCATTTTCGTGTTGCTTATATTACGCACAACCAGCCGGCCCATGTATTGTTATTTTTAATTAAATAATTAATTAACAGTCACCGTGTTTTTTTTAAGTGGAGCTGTATTGGTATGATCGTATTGGCTAAGTTCACACATTATGGGGTCTAAAATTACCCGTTCATAGCAATGTTAGGTTCTAAAAGGGCACTAGAAATGTCATAGATAAGAATAAGAGCAATAACCATGCACTTTGAAGGCATTTGCGTTCTGAAAACAGAACTCAACTATCCCTTTAATATTATTATCATTTGTTTGATGATTTTTCAGGAACCCTTGATGAAGAGTCCATGGAGCTGATGAACACACCTCGCTGTGGCATGACAGACATGGAATCCGATGCCGATATGGTGAGAAGAAAACGTTATGCCTTGGGTCCAAGGTGGACCAAGACCGACCTGACATGGAATGTCCTGCAAGACAGCGATGATCTATCCCGTGCTGATGTAGAGCGTATCATGGAACGAGCTTTCAAGGTAAGATATCTAGCGATGTCATTGGCATTTGTGTGAGGATGCGTGTGCGTGTGTGTGTGTGTGTGTGTGTGTTTATAATGTATTTTACATATTTTATACATTTATACTTTTATCTCGAAAGACTTGCTTAGTGCGCCCCTTATCATTTTTATTAGTGATGAAGGGTTGGTGCCAGACATGGAGAGGGCACCGACAATGGGATGGGTATGGGAGAAGGAGGGGGGTTCACGGAGAGGGGGCACCGACATTGGAAGGGGTATGGGAGAAGGAGGGGGTTCACGGAGAGGGGGCACCGACATTGGAAGGGGTATGGGAGGAGGAGGGGGTTCACGGAGAGGGGGCACCGACATTGGAAGGGGTATGGAAGAAGGAGGGGGGTTCACGGAGGGGGCACCGACATTGGAAGGGGTATGGAAGAAGGAGGGGGTTCACGGAGGGGGCACCGACATTGGGAGGGGTATGGGAGGAGGAGGGGGTTCACGGAGAGGGGGCACCGACATTGGAAGGGGTATGGAAGAAGGAGGGGGGTTCACGGAGGGGGCACCGACATTGGAAGGGGTATGGAAGAAGGAGGGGGTTCACGGAGGGGGCACCATCATTGGAAGGGGTATGGGAGAAGGAGGGGGTTCACGGAAAGGGGGCACCGACATTGGAAGGGGTATGGAAGAAGGAGGGGGTTCACGGAGGGGGCACCATCATTGGAAGGGGTATGGGAGAAGGAGGGGGTTCACGGAGAGGGGGCACCGACATTGGAAGGGGTATGGGAGAAGGAGGGGGGGTTCACGGAGAGGGGGCACCGACATTGGGAGGGGTATGGGAGGAGGAGGGGGGTTCACGGAGAGGGGACACCGACATTGGAAGGGGTATGGGAGAAGGAGGGGGTTCACGGAGAGGGGGCACCGACATTGGGAGGGGTATGGGAGAAGGAGGGGGTTCACGGAGGGGGCACCGACATTGGAAGGGGTATGGGGGGGGGGGTCTTCCAAGGCCATTAATGGTTGTTGTTGGTAGCGTAGTAGTAGTAGTACTAATATGAGTATAGTAGTAATAATACGAGTAGTATAAGTAGTAGTAGTAGTAGTAGTAGTAGTAGTAGTAGTAGTAGTAGCAGGAGTTGTGGTGGTGGCCGTGGTGGTGGTGGTGGTGGTATTAATGATAGTAGTTGTTGCTGTTGTCGTTGATGTGGTTGTTGCAGCAGTACATCATGTTTTGTCTCTCTGTAATAATTACAGGCTTGGAGTGACGTCTCCACTCTAACTTTCCGCAAAGTGACGACGAATGAGCCCGACATCAAGATCATCTTCGCTGCGAATGAACACGGGGATGGGTTCAATGCCAGATTCGATGGTAGTGGTGGTGTTCTAGCGCATGCGTATTTTCCCACCTCAAACTTGATTGGAGGCGACGCTCATTTCGATGAGGACGAGACGTACACGGATGGTACCTCTAGTGGTAATTTAAACATTTCAAGTTTATCATAATTAGAAATTAAAATATAACGAAACAGTGGAAAGTTTCGACAATTTCCGTAATATCAACATATCAAGTTCATGAACGTTCGTAAAACACTAGAAATCTTGTTAAACGTATTAACAATTTTAGTAGAGTTACATTTATTTTTCTTTTTTTTAAATGTTGTTTCTAATTTGTAAAACTTTTTTTCTGTCTTTCATTTCTAGTTCATGTTCGTTGTGTATTTACCTCATGGGAGACCGGGTTTAATTGAAACGATTACAATTTATTTTAATATGCAAATAGTTTGAAATGAGTTTCTACTATTCAAATAATGTAAACGAAAATATCACGTCCACATTTGAGACCTGAGTAAATGAAATTAAATGAGTTTAATAAAGATCTTTAGGTAATATAAATGAAGCCTCTTGTGCAACGGGTAGCGGAATTACTGGCGTATCCAGGATTCCAAGATACAGAAGAGACGGACACCCCCCCCCCCCCCCCATTATGGCACTGTTATAAAGAAGAAATAATGGCTTCTTGTATCATAGTGTTGAACATTATTACCCTAGTTATACTTATAGCTGAGCCACCAAAGTACCTAGCATATCAGGTACTCAATTACACCTGAGTGGAGAGTGGCAAACATACATTAATGTTTTGCCAAACGACGTAAGTGCTGGGCTGTAATCCATCCGGTTACATATCTAGCTAGACCACAACACTTCTACATGATTTAGGATACGCAACTATAAACAAATATGAAAAAAACAATTTTAAAAGATAAAAAATAAATTTAGATCAACAAACAAAGAAACTTGATATTCAACACCGATCCATTTCTTTAAAACCCCTTACAGGAATCAATCTTTTCCAAGTCGCTGCTCACGAGTTCGGTCATAGTCTTGGTCTCAGACACTCTGATGTCCAGGATGCCCTTATGTACCCATACTACAGAGGATACGTAGCAAACTTCCAGCTTCATCGAGATGATATTGCTGGTATTCAAGCTCAATACGGTAGGTTATATGACTGTTCGTGAAGGTTCTTCTTCATAAAAAAAAAACTTTTAGAACCACGTCATTAACCTAGGGCGTTTTGGGGCTTACTTGGGTTGAATTGCACCCGTAACACGAAGATAACTTAGCGCTTTGTTGTTGTTGAAATTGACCATAATGTACAGCCAATCGATCGTACGATAAATTGCTCAGCTTTGTGTTTGTGTGACCCAGGTCATGATAATAGTGCAAGAAATGGAAATTATAATTATGATACATTGCATTAATATTAATTTAAGATGGTGATTATAATACTAGAACTGCAGGGCACTCAGGAAGTACTGATAAGGCTACCCTGTGTAGATAAGATAATTTTAATATCATGTTATCATACAATTAGTGATCTAGCATCCTGAAAACTTGCTATCTTTTAGATAAAAAACTTTCTTTTCCCTCTTTCTCAAGTATATCATCATGAAATGAAACCATAATTTTTTTCTACAAACATCAATTTTTTAGGATGAAGAGTAGACGATTGTCTCTGTTTTATTTTTTAGGAGAAGGAAACGGGCAGCCAGAAGAGCCAGACACGCCCTCTACGCCGTTGGACAACTGCATGCCTCAGATTTCTTGGGCTACACGGACGAGAGATGGCAGTGCCTACTTTGCTAATGGTAAGAAATTAAACCTGTCTATAGTTGCCATGTTTGTTTTCTCCCTCCGAGTCCTTCGTGTAAGAAATGTGTTTTGTAGAATCTGTTTAGAAAGGCCACCTGTCTACAATGGCCTCTTTCTCTGTTTTTCTTGGGTGGCCTCAATAGACAGGTGTTACTGTAGCTTTGTAATCACCCTTTATCATGAAAGCGCATGCAGCTACAAGCTAAGCCACCGAGGAAGCAAAATTTATGCCATACAGTTTTATTATGCAATTAGGTTTATTATCGATGGAAGCATTTGTCAATTCACAAAATCTTAGGTCTGCTCTTATTTTAAAGACGATTCCTCTGAACTGGGGTATTTAGAAATCAGAGAGCATTCAAATCAATGATTTAAACCTGGCTCACCCCATTGAGAGAACGGAGAAAGGGACTTGAATATGTCTGTGTGGTGTATTGCCCCCAGGAGCCCTCGCCCCTATCACCACTCCAAAATGTCGTTCAAAACCGAGCCTTTTTAGCCCCCGCACTTTCCAAAAAACTCCGTGGCACCGTCTGATATTCTTAAGAATAATAAAACAACGAATTAACCTTGCTATAATCTCTTATTACCTACACCCTCTTCCTATGCACAGAAACGCACGTGTTCCGTCGAGCTAGTAATAACATGATTCCTGCCGGCTATCCGAAGATGATAGGTGACGAATTCCCCGGTCTTCCAACCGACCTAGACGCTGCTTTCTATTATTCTCCATACACTTATTTTTTCAAGGTGAGTGAATCGTTAAGATGAACATTACATTGATAAATTGTAAACATTCTCATTTAATTGACACACTGTCGGTGTGATTTTTTTAAATGAAATTTGATACAAAAATGAGTGTATGATAGCCTATGCACGGTAACAAGCAGCAACAATTATTAGGGGAGGACACGATAGCCGATCTCCGAAGTGAGGAGCGTATATACTCCGACATCACTCCTCTACTATGACAAGATAATGTTTTATACCACTTTATGATAGCATGGGTGCTAATAGAATGTGTAATAGACTAATTAATTTATATTATTTGCTCTAAATTTATACGCCATCTCTCTCTTTCTCTCTTTTTTTCTTCTCTACTATTCGAAAAACACCCACACACGCCTAGACACAGTACCCTTCGTTTTCCTTCGATTTTCTATAATGGATCAATTGTCTTGAGTGATATTGATTTTTTAATGCTATTTTTCTCATTATAGGGAAGTCAATATTGGCGGTTTCGAAACCGGGCAATGGCTGGCACTTATCCGAGACCGTTATCCGACTGGCAGGGTCTACCAAATGATCTCGATTCGGCTTACGTATGGACCCGCAATGGCGGAATCTATTTTACTAAAGGTTAGATAATTCATCATTTTATCAATTTGTTGTCAATTCTTCGATCTGTATATAGAATAAGGAAAAACACACAAAGTCGCTTTTAACCAGAAGAAATATAGCCTACACGTGAAAATATACGAGAAGAAATGAATAAAATAACCATTTGAAACTATTTCAGGACAACTCCCCCACCTGACAAATGATATTACACCACTGGGGACTATCCCTTCTCTCGGATAACTTCTCTTAGAAGAATTACTCAACTCCCTGGAAATCCACCCATAAGAAAATTATCTTGCTAAAAATTATACCTTGGTAACTTTCTCTTAGTTGGAATCGCAAACATGTTCCAACGATGTACGCTTATGCTGTGGTCACATTACCCAAAAGTAGCCTGCTCGGCGGGCGAGCGGCGAGTTTTTAACCAATTCTCGCTCGGTCGCCCCTGAAGTTTTAGCGCGGAGTTAAAATTTTGGCGGCGCCTGCTCAATTTTCACTCGCCGCCCAAAATACGCTCCGTGCCTGGGCGGTCGCCGCCCGGGCACCGACCTAATTGCTGGGCGATGCCTAAATTCCAGCAGCGACCGAGCAGGCTACTGATCGGTCGGTCGCTGCTCAGATTTGTGACCATAGCTTTATGCAGACTCTAACCCCTTTCTTTGGATATATGGGACATGTTTCACAGGTTTGAACAAAGGGAGAGGCTCTTTTTTCTTTATCTAGCTCACAAAAAGCATCTTTTCAAAATGGATTTCCATATCATTTTTGTTATATAACAGGAAATCAGTACTATCGCTACAACCGTGGAGTAAGCTCATACTACCCCCAGCCTTTGAGCCGATGGGGTGGGCTTCCAAGTGATGGTGTGGATGCCGCCTTCCGGTATAACAACGGTTACACTTATTTCTTCAAGGGGTCAGAATATTACCGGTTCAACGACCGCAATATCAATGTGGCAAGCGGATATCCGCGGAATACGGCTATCCAATGGTTAGGCTGTGATCCGAATGAGCTTTTCCTCGGACCAACCGCGGATACCGGAGGCGATGCGACCGCGGATACCGGAGGCGATGCGACGGTGATGGTTCCTTCCATGGTTGCTGTCTTCTTCTCTGCTCTTTCCGCTCTTTATTATGCTTTTTAAAATCCTTTTTAGAATTAGAGTGCATAAAGTTTCAGCACCAATCAAAGTGAAAACATTCGAATCATATTTGTATATCGTACATTAGCTTCTCTTCCATTCTCATTCCATCCTTTTTGTGTTCATCACGAAATGAGACCTCCCAAACCTCATATTATCAAATATTCAGCTAATTAGACGTTTGATTCCCCCTCCCCCTCTCTTTCTCTCTCTCTCTCTCTCTCTCTTTCTCTCTCTTTTTCTCTCTTTCTCACTCTTTCTCTTTCTGTCTTTCTTCCCATACCACCAAATAACAAGTCATGTCTCATTTTAACCATTGAATCAAATCTCAATTGACTTCTCTAGCTTGACACTAGACACTACAAGAAAAAAAAAATCCTTTCTTTAAAAATTAATAATGATTATAAATTGTAATTGTCGCATCAATGCTCTCACGAGGGATGGTAGGAACATAGTTAGAAATATTTGATGGGTAAGCTATATACCCCTGTATCAAGTGCTCGAGATCAGTAAGCAATATATTCTTTCAAGGCTGCCATGAAGCGTAAATATTATTATCAGCATACATGTCATAATTAATAAGCGCTCCAAACACATGCACATAACATAGATCAAACGCTTCACAAAAGACACACACTAACACAATATACACATTACACAATACAGACACTTAACTCATTTCATGTTATTTCTGAAAAACTGATTTACTTCACTGTGTGGCTGTTACAATTAATCTGTTTCTGATTATACTATATGCAATAGGTCACCCATATAGGTTCCTTTCCTGAGGCCGCCATCGCGTTTAAGATTAGCTTAAGATGGCGGTCTCCTGCGTTTTTCAATTTTGAAGTCATTTGTCAATTGTGTTTTTTGTTAAGGCATATCTATTTAATTATATTATGATATGATTATGTATGTATTTTAACTTATGTTTAACAAAAAAATATTTTGGTGGTGGTTATTTTACCTGACTGCTAAGAAAGCATAAATGCTTGTAAGTAAGCAGCAAGACGGCCGACGGCTTTAGGTCCTCTCCGAGGGAAATGAAATTTAGACTACCTAGTTTTTATATTACTTTCTATTACGTTGAAAATGCTGAAATAAAATCAAACGAACGAGCAAACAATAATCGAAATGGTGTTTTATGTGTTAGGGATGTTGTAGATGGATATCTTAGTTCGGTTCTTCTCTTAGTTTTAACTTTTCCATTCGAATGATGATACCACCCAAAAACAAGTCATGTCTCATTTTAACCATTGAATCAAATCTCAATTGACTCCTCTAACTTGTCACTCTACACTTCGAGAAAAAAAAATTCTCCTTTCTTCAATTATGAAAATATAGGTCTATATACAATTATAACTTTAATACCCAAATACACGATATGAGCAAAATTGTGCAGAGTTTGCCACGATCCGTTGCATCACTGCCGCTCCTATGAAGACAAAAGTTTGTTGGGGTTCATAAAAAACGAGACCAAGATAATAATTGTGTAATATCATATTCCCAGAACTTATCCGGGTTGTTTTATTACCGAAGCCTTCGTTACGTAAATATTTACAAACTTTTGATTTATTAAACATTATATCTATTTCATGAAATAAATTTATAATATATATTTAGTATTTGAAATAAAATTTTGTATGACTGTGATGAGCATTATTTAATGTCCTACATTGTAGAT